CCAACATGTACGGCTGTAAGCCTTCTACCCCAAACGAAGCTTCTGCCATCCTGGCGTTCTCTTCCACAACAACTTGTCCCTCCTTTCCTCCTCTAAATAAAAAATGTATGATGGAGGAGACTCATTCACGACCTCCGACACAAAACTCTCCTCCTCCTGCATGTTTCCGTTGTCCATAGCGTTCCTTGACAGTGTCTTTCTAAGTCACCAATTTGGTGCTACTTGGTCCCAATGTAATTTCCCATTGGGAACCTACTAGCACCAAGTTGCTAACTGGTTTGCAAGATTCTTCTGAGACATCGGCCACAACCAGACTTGTTTGCGAACCTTCCGCCACAAGAATCCTGCCCCTTTGATAATTGACCAATCACATTCACTTTATTCACCTGTGTAAAATCGTGCACCACTTGGGAGAATTTAGAAATGCAACAGTTGTAAAAAGCCGCTTCCCTACGACTTAAAAAAAAATGTATACGGTAAAATAAATCAATTTGAAAGAGTAGATCCTCTTTTGGAATGAATTATTCAAACTGGCGGAACTTACATCTTTATACCAGTATTTCCTCCGCCATTAGGTCGCCGTTACACCTGCTGCTATATTTCAGCAAGCCTGCACTGATGCAGACTCGCTATTTAAGGGACGGAAGGTCCACTCACTCTACCTACTACGTAGTTTTTTTATTGATCATTTATTTCGAACACTTAATGAAAAGCAAATACAAGTAAATTAATACAGTCATAATAAAACAAAACAAAAAAGAAGAAAATGAAAAAACATATGTACATAACATCATGTTCGAAAAGGAGTAGGAAGAAGTAATAAAATGTTTGGGACAGCCCTCAATGTGCCAGACCATCCGTGGGAACGGTTTGGGATTGGGCCTGTGGCTTTCTTACTTTGACCACTAATCAGCTTGATGAGCCGCCAACCACTGAAGCTGTTAACACTTAGAAACTATGGCTTTTGGTCAGACCCCTTCTGAAGTTTCCCTCGATTCTATGCACTTCAATGGTGAAGAATATTGAGCCAAATGACACCTTTTCTTTGCCACTTCTGTACAAGAAAAAGCTGCATTTTTGAGTGTTATGGTCCGTTTCTCTCTTTTTCAATAGTTTAGCAACAGACTACTTTCTGCAGTCCCCTACTAGAAAACTGATGCTCACAAGGGTAATAGCTGCCTTTATGCAATAGGTTTTAAGCTGTAAAGTTGGAGCACCTGGAGGAATTAGTAGCACCACCTTTATTAATACAGATAGTTTTAAATTGTTAACTAAATTTGTATTTCCCAACCGTTTTCTGTTTTTATGTAAAATTCTTATTTTTCTGTTTTAGGTAGTGTTGCACCGATACCAGTATCGGGCATGGCTCCGATCCAGCACTAAAATGGTGTTATTGGTATCGGAGAGTACCAACAAATAGGGCACCGATGCCATTTTGAGAGCTAAAACTTTATTCAACTATTGACACCCATTCCAGGTAGACAATAAAAAGTTCTACTGGATTCAATTTGTATTAGTCTTTTTCCTGCTTCACAAAGGCAGGCAGCAGCTTGACAAAGCCATGATGGCAGTTATTTTACATCCAAGTGCTATGCAGGTCTTCATATATACACAAACACATGAATTTCAAACAGATGTTTTTGGCTGATACTGCACAGCCAGGTATTGGCGCCAAAAATGGCATTGTCCCTTACCTTTTCACATCTTGTAGTTCAACACTTATCTTTGAATTGTTTTAAATCTGTTTATTGGACTTTAAAAATGTAATTGCAAGAAATAACTTTTAAAAAATGGGCCTGTTCTAAAACATTTTGCCTCTGTTATATCTGAATCCAGTTTTTAGGACATAACTTTTTTTCATGGGATCATCCTTTCTTTTCTCCCAAATATTGTCGAAATTCTTTTTATATTTATTTACTATCCATCTGCTAATTGTCCATACTGTTTAGATAGGATGACATGGGACAGATTTTTCAAAGTAAACAAAACTCAACTGCTGCAACAAACCTCATCCCAGGACCTGCTGCAACATGTCCTAACTCAATTTTTGCTTTCGTATCAAAGAGTGAACTTTAAGAATTTGTATCGCTGATAAAACTTGGGCTCTACGCAAAGCGAACAAACACAGATACCCCAAACAGAAACTAATTTTGCAACTTTTTCAAAAACTATAAAAAATCCCAAATCAACACAAAATATTCAAAAATATTTATGAACTCTTAAAAGAGGCACATCTATAAAAACAGATTTTTTTTAAGAGCAAAGACCAAACATTTCCTAAAAATATATTTTAATGGACATCCAAATAAAAAAAAAAACCTCTGTGTGTAATTTACTTATTTTTATATATTACCTTTAGGTTGTGTTCTAATTTATCAGGATGTTTCTGTATTTTAGGGCCTATAAATGTAGACAATGCTTCTTTTTTTTTTTTTTTTACAATAAATATCCTTAATGGAGTGAAACTAAACTGGAAATGTTTAAAATGGATGTTATTGGGAAATTTTTTAACCACCGACACAAAAAGCCAACATACACATTTCTTTTACAGCACAATATTTATTCAACAATATACAGGTTCATCTCAGTCTATATGACTTATCTTTATATTTATCTTGCTTTCACCTTTATACATTTTTTGTATTTACAAGATTTTTTTTCAAAATAAGTCTTATCATTTTTCTCTCCATTTCTACATCATAATTACTACAGTGTTTCAGCAGCTTTCACCAAAGCGTCTGTTCACGATCCGTTACAACCAAACGTTTTACACGCTGACCAGAGCAGCAGGCGGCCTGAAAGGCCCGACACACCAGCAGCCGTCCGGCTGCGGCTTCCTCTCTGCAGGGATGGTCCTCCATAGCTTCTTTGCTTACATGATACAGATCAGGGAGAGCCAACACACCAAAAAAAAAAAAATTAAATAAATAAAAATAACGGATAAATGAGGAAAAGGGGGAAAATGTTGCATAGAATCAATTCTGACGTCAAGAACAGAAATTTTGGTGCTGCTTTTTATTTTTTAATTGTGGCTTTTTGTTTTTTCTTCTAGAGACTCCTGAGACCTTCCAAACCCACCAACTTTTATTTTTGACTTTTTTTGGTTTTGAAACAAAAAAATATATAATAAATAACTGTACTCTTAGACTTAAACCAAAATAGCCTTTCGCTCGATGAGGAATCCCATAAAACTACTACTTTAAAGAGACTACAACCCTGCACTGAGTGTATACACGTTTTGCACATCTATATATTTCATCTCAATAACTATCTTCAGAGAGGTGGATGGGTTAAAGTGCATTTAACTGTATGAACACAAAGCCCACAGTTACCACATGCAGGGAGGAAAATGAACTTTGTCATCCAGCAATAGCGACTGTTCAATAAACTAAATAGTCTTTTTCAACACAGAATGGAGGTTTTTATTGGAGATGCACCTGGACTTATTGAAGCGTATGGATTTTATTGACAGTCCTGAGCTGGTGTTCATTTCCCTCCCTGATCACATGCAAATAACACCACACACTGAGGGATATTTGTTACTCTAAGTCAACACACAGCCCCGACATGACTGTGGGTAAACCTCGGCACTCCTTGAAAGACGGGAACACATCACCGGTTTTTTTAAAAACAGCAAAAAGGTGCCACTGGACGCACGGCGAAAATACAGCGAGAAATGGGAATGTGGGGAGGGTCACACGCCACGAGGGGGTACAACTTATCGACGCAGGAGAAAAGCACAGTGTCCTGTTCTTCCACAAGAACAGTCCAGAGCTGAATGCGCTCTGTGGGGGAACGGCGCACACAGAGGAAGAGCAGCTGTGAGGGCTTCAAGCACACCAGGAGCGTCCATGTGAGAGATTTATATACAATAACCTGTCGATTCTGGAGCTGAGCGGCAGCTTGCAGAGACGCATCACAGCAGATATACACCTCCTTGCAGAACCGTTGCACTCCTTGAGCTTTTTCGCTTTTAAAAAACCACAAACTTTAATCATTAGAAGGATTTCAGGTGACAGATCAACAAAAGGTAGAGCAGTAGTCATGAAGTGAAAGGAAAACCAAACAGGTTTTTCAGACTTTGTCAGCTCATTTGTGCCTAATCTATTTAATTTAATATCAACCTGGATAAAGCTGGCCAGTGAAGGCTTCAGGTCGTTTAACATTTGTCACAAGAAGCTCCCACAACGGATCTGCAGAGATCCACAGCTCAGGTGTGGGAATCTGTCAGCACCTTTTAGTGATTAACTTCACATAGTTAGACCTATAAAGTCCTATTTCCAGTTTGTGATAGGTAGTGCTCTGATGTGCAAACCAATGTGTGAGGCTACATGATCCTGAAAGTGAGACATGGTGGTGGCAGTGTCATGCTACAGAAATTACCTACAGCTGAAGATCTGTTAGAATCGGGGATGGGGGCACATGATATAAAAACATCTCTTAACAGACGCTCTCTGTTCTACCCGATCAAGATTGAAAAACTTCCAGTCTTTAGATGCATGTAGCTTCTATGCACATAGATCTTCATATTTGCAACAGTTAACAGCATCAAGATGGTACAAGATTTAAAAAGTACCAACTAAGGCAGGGACTAAATTCAGATTCATACTAATTTAAGTAATTTAACCGTAAGGATTTTTGAAAACAGTTTGGTTTTGCTTCCATTTCACCTTTATACACAGATCAATGAGTCTGTAATGATACAAAGCATGGGAAAAAAAAGCTCAAGGAGGAAAAACACCTTTGCAAAGCCGTATTGGTAATGACAGACACAGACAAATGTCTGATATTCTAAATATAACAATAAAAAAACTAAAAGGATAAAGGTGAAGCTGCATCTAAGGGCACGCCGAGCCAACTCTCTGAACCCAAACTTTTAAAATAAGACCAGTAAACAGAAAACAATCAGGCATTTTACATAAGACACCATATATATATATATATATATATATATATATATATATATATATATATATATATATATATATATATATATATCCCACAGGGAAGGGTGTGTAATGGCACATCTGGCTAAGAAGAGGACAAGATTGGGGTTTGGCTCGCCGGGCCTGCTTCATGCATCTGAAACAGCGGCGCTTTGCAGGGCAATACACATGCAGAGACAAGACGGCAGGTTAAGAAAAAGCAATAGAAATCACTCCGCTTGGACAGGAAGCACTACACAAGGCTAGAGAAGCACTGTGCGCAGATGCAGGCATTTTACAGCAGAGAAGAACTCCATGCACAAGGATCCAAAAAAGAAAAGAAAAAACAATTGCACTTAAAATAAAAAAGAGAGAAAGAAAAAAAAGAGGAATTACAATAAAATAATCAAAGGAAACACCTGAAATAACTGGCCTATATTGCAGCTGAACTTGGAACAGAAAGATATTCAGTCAAAAATCCTCATGATTACAAACATTTAGAGTTGAAATGAGAAACCATTGGAAAAAAATCCTCCATCTGACTGGCAGACGTGTATTTCAGCACACAATGAGGTAGAACAAAAAAAAAGATCATGCTTGTGACGACGCAACGCAGTGACTGCTACAAGCCTCCAGGGGGCAGCAAATAACCGGAATATGAGCCACAACTCTTAGAAAGGAAAGCGGCCCCTGTCAGATGAAACCATAAAAACCAACTGAACAGATACAGTCGCTGTCTTTAGTGTCGCACACAAAACCTGCAGGATTCAGATTAAAAGTAAAATGAAGTCACAAGACTACAGTCTCTGCTTGCGTAGCTGCACAGGAATGATTTCTTCCGATTTTTCCAGTTAAAAGTTCAAGACAACTTTTAAAACCACATTCCAGTTTGGTTCAAGAACAATCTTAAAAATGTGTTTGTTTAAACTGATTTTAAAAATGAACAGAAATGAGATTCATTAAATCCATTTATGATTGAAATCAGCAAGAATGATTGCACAAGAGCCCCGGAATGAAAGGGCGACGAGAAGGGGGAAAGATTCCCTCTTTTCTACCCATGAGCGACGTGTTATTGCTGATTGACTGATTCAGTCAGGAACTCAAATAATCTGAAACATTATGAGGCTTTACATCTGCAATATTTTTTTCTTTTTATTACCTCCCAGTTATGGGTAGCTTGTATGTGGAATGCTCAGCTTGTCTGGAGGGAGTGAAGTTACAGTGATTGAAAAGTCGTCAACATCTTTCCATGTTTTCTCAGAAACTAACCAACTTTCTTGATGTTGGAAGAGGAGAAACAGAGCTCCAGAGATCTGGAGATCTTTGTTTCCCCTCTGCCTTAACAGAAACTGACCAGAGTGCTGTCTGATTTGGGTTGTGACTAAACATGTCTCTAGACCTGCGATATGATCTGCATGTTGAAGCTGGGTGAGCGTGACTGCTTGGTGAGAGGAGCTCCAGGAGACAGGAGGGCCTGGGACTCCTCCGGCCTGTTGAGGTGCTCCTCCTGCAGGCTGACGGTGGAATGGCGGAGGGAACCCCCCAGTAAGGGCCCTGTCTCCTTGTCGGAGCCTCCTGCTGCCTCCTCTCTCTCGTCCTCGCCTCCGTTCAAGTTCAGGTTCATGCAGTCAAAGGATTTGCTGGAGGAGGTGCTTCCAGTCCGCACCAGTGGGTGCCCTGCAGGGAAGCTCAGGTGTTTCTTTATGGGGCTCAGGTGGATAGCGTCCAGCTTGATGCTTCCTGGGGGGGACTGCTGCCTCTGGCGAGGCTTCGTCCCTGCGGCCTGCTGATCCGCACACAGTTCCACCTGTTTCTCCACCTCCCGGTCTCTCTCCCTTTCCTTCTCCCGATCCTTCTCCTTGTCCTTGTCCCTGGACAGCCGAGCTGTGATGGCTTTCTTAAAGCTGCTGCTGCTGCTGTTCAGGCTGCCCCTCTGCCCCAAGCTGCCACCGGTCTTTGTGCCACTGGGCTGGCTGCTGTTGGAAGCTCCAGAGGAGAAACCTTCGTCCGGATCGTTGATGTTGAAGGAATCCTCGCCTCCGCTCATGCCGTCAGCATCTGGGGGAAAAAGCCAAGAAGCAGAAAGGAAAACAGGAGAGAAAACACGGAATCATGAGAGGAGCCGAGAAAGGAAGACGTCTCTAATCGACCTCTACTTTAATGCTGAAAGTTTTACTATAATCACAGTTTTGATTAAGGACATAACTATAAAATTCAGAAGCCTAGCAATAACATTGGAGCACAACCAATGTCACCTTTTATTATGTATAGTTTTTTTTTGTTCAGTGGCCAAAACCCTCCTAATATTAATGATCAAATGCAAAGACAGGAATGTAATTTACTAATTCATTTGGCTGAGAAAACAAACTAATCAGAGATTAAATCATTGGAAAATGTTTAAAAGTTTCAACTGGGGCAGAATTAGGGCTTATATAAAGTAAATATAGCCAACTGGAGGCTCTCCAGGAAATTGCTGATTTTCCAATCTGAAACAAAAAATCGGAACTTTTTTCGAACAGTGAACTCATCATCCCTAAAAGCTGTTTTAAGGCTGGTTTATGCTCAGAAACCAGGTTGTATGCGTGGGTCACAGTTAATGCAGATATGCTCCCCCCGCTTCAGCAGACACTCTGGCACACCTCTCCAAAATTGTAAGTGATCGCAGACTGTGCTGCAAATAGCGTCAAAGGGAGGATTGAAAGGAGGCGTCTTATTGGTCAACTCTACATACACTATACATACTTCCCATTTCGTACCTGATGGCAGACACTCTGGCTGTAGTGCCGTCCAAAACACCTGGCACACCTAGGACACTATCCCAGACACCATACAGGATGCTAGTTTGTAGCTCTGTGCGACGGTCTGTTGGTTTGCACCCGAAGCCAAAACACATGGCCAGTCTTTCAGGAACACTCATGGGTGAACTGTGCGTTGTCCTGGGTTGGATGAGGGGTTGTAGACAGCGAACGAGCTCGTCAAACCGACAAGCGGACACCCACAATCCTAGCTAGTTCGTGATTGTTCCTCTTGCGTTGTGCCATGGAATTACATAGCAGAGACCACGCTTCAACATTGTGCATAAATCAAAAATATCTTCATCATACCTGCAACGAGCTAACAGCGACGCACTGCTGAGGGTATAAACGCAGCCCTTTAGAACAGCACTTTGACTAAGTTCCTTATATTCAATATTACTCAGCTGCTTAGAATGACCGAATGCAAAACATTCAGAGAGGTTCAGCGAGAGCAACACCTCCAACAGCTAACAGTAAGGCTAAACGGAGTATAACCAAGTTGCTGTCTCATATATCCCATCTATCATTTCTTAACCTCAAACCTCTCATTATGGAACATGTTGGATCAAAATAGTTTAATCTGCTTTAACAGCAACTTTTCTCCTAAACAATCACAACATGACCTGATTAACGAACTTAAATATATGTAATTTTGTTTTACACAGGTTAAAGGAGCAGGGTGTCATTTTGAGCCTCTAGGAGGCGCAAGACCTATAATTTCTAGGTTTAGCACCCTTTTAACCACTAATACTGGCCTGTCTGAAAATTTTAGTGTCCTTCAATGTGTTTCAATTTTTTTAATTAAAAGCTGATTTTGCACATTTTATATCCTCCTCGGTTGTTTTT